ATATATTGTGCTTGTGTTGCTTTTTGTGTTGCTCTAGCTTGTTTAGTTGCTAGCTCTCTTGTTGGTTGTGTAGTTTAGTAGTTGTTGTCGCTAGCTCCGTGGTTGTTTAGCAGTGTCGCTAGTTGTTTGTGTGCTTGCTAATTTAATTAGTATATAGGCCCCGTACGTTTCGCTGAAAAAATAAACCGAAACACTGTTCTGGCTGATTTGTTGTGAGAGAAAACACTGTTCTAGCTAAAAAAAAGCTAAAAAAGATGGATTATAAGAGAAACAAACAGGGCCATAGAATTATGTAGGATGCTTGCTTTGTATTAACTAGGCTAGGCAAGTAGTGGCTATTAGGATTGTCTCTCTTACTAATATACCTTGCCTAGTGTCTTTGTGTTTGTAGAAATTTAATTAGGCTATTCACCCCCTCTATTTTTTGAGAGGCTATTCACCCCCTCGAGACATCCCTATATCGTTTCAATCTCTATTACGTGCATGCTACTCCCAGTTCTCATACATGCCGAAGTCATTTGGTACCTAAAAACTATACTCAGCAAGTACAACTAGAACTGAAATAAAATCTAATTTCACACGATCATCCATGAACAAAGAATTAGAACATCGAGAAATAGTAGTTCCTATCCACAACGGACGAATTTGAATTATTAGCATTTACCAGTAAAGCTGAGCAAGCAGGGCCACCACTTACTCACAAGAACCTGAAAGAATCAAATAGTTTTGAATCCACCAGAACAGGAATTAAGTGTAAATAAAACTTGCAATATGAATCTTAAGAAACTAGAACTTGAACTGAACCATGAAAAATATAGCACATGAAACATCTGAACTAATGAAAACTCAAACAATAGGTGCAACACCCAAAGACAAGTTCATTATGCACTTGCCTTGCCTTTGGTGAGAATTCGGCGTCACACGCTTGGCACTACCACCTCCAAATCTTGAGGAACAAAACTGACTTAAACTAGCTTTCATCGATCACGAACCTATTTTATGAATAATCAAGTAAACCTCTTAACTAAACTCTAAATTGTTGGTTCTATTTTTTTTAAAAGTTCGTTTGGATTTCTAAATTCTTCGTTGTTTTTCATAACTCTAAATTCGTTTAACTAATTGAGGCAAACAAATATATCTTCTTAGAAATCTATAGAAATTTTATTTTCTACAACTTTTGTTTACTGATTCTGGCCCCAACTAAGTCGAAACTAACTGAAAATGTTTTTACAAGAAAAAGCGCTAACCACTGTGCACGTGGCCATGTATTCCATAACAGTTAGAAGATCCAGCAGCATGTTCGGTAGGTCGTAAACGATCGTGGATTATTTACTGCTGGCTGGTTTGGTGTGAGAGAAAAATACTGTTCCAACTTATAATCCAGGATCGTATACGAGCAAGCAAACATGCTGCAGAGAGTCTCCGCACACGATTCACTAGTCTAAGGGGGTGTTTAGTTGCCCCTCCTAAATTTTAGTCGGTGTCCCATCAAATATTTGGACATATGCATGGAGTATTAAATATAGACTAATTACAAAACTAATTACATAGTTTGCGACTAATTTGCGAGACGAATCTTTTAAGCCTAATTAGTCCATGATTTGACATTGTTTGCTACAGTAAACATGTGTTAATAATGGATTGATTAGGCTTAAAAAATTTATCTCGTGGAGTACTGACGAATTATGTAATTTATTTTTTTATTAGTATCTGAATACCCCATACAACATCCTCCCAATATACCAGCTAAATTTTAGTCACTGGATCCAAACACTCTCTAACACCATACTGATCCTACCTGTTTTGTTTAGGAGTAGTATAGCAGTAGATAATAATTCATACGCTGACGCTGGGTTGTCGTAGACGTGGGTGTTTGATTGATTTTGCAGCGATGGCGATCCCAAATCCCAATCTGGGCCTCGTTTAGATACTGAAAAAATTTCAATCCGATAAATAATACCACTTTCGTCTTATTTGATAAATATTGTCCAATCGTGGATCAACTAGGCTCAAAAGATTCATCTCGTGATTTCCAACTAAACTGTATAATTAGTTATTTTTTTTTACCTACATTTAATACTCCATGCAAGCGGCTAAAAATTGATATGATGGAGAGAGAGTAAAAAAACTTGGAATTTTGGTGACATCTAAACAAGGCCCTGCTGCTGCGCTGCGCTGCGCACAGTGTGTGTACGTGGGGCCCGGCCGTACATAAATGATGAGCTTGACATCCCATCCAGCTAGAGCTAGGGGATTATAAACAAAGCGGCCATGGTCGCCACTTGCCTGCCGCCTGCCTCTGACCATCCACCACCTGCTCGACCCGCCCCCGCCTCTCTCCATTCCATCACGCCATCGCCACGCCACGCCGCTGGCGCTGCCCTCTCCCTCGCTGCGCCCAGTAACTAGCGCCGAATCGTTTTATCGGAGGTCATCGCCCCCGGAGGTGACCACACTCTGCTCTGCTCTGCCCCCTGCTTGCTTCTTCCTCCCCCTTCTCTTCTGCCTGACGCCTCTCACTGCTGCCCCCTGATCTTCTTGGTTCATGTTTGATTGCTTGTTTTTCTTCTCTACCATGTTTCTTTCTTATTCAGTACTAGCATCAGCCCTTATTCAGCACTATCATCAGCGTGCTTCGTTCTTCTCCCCACTTTCGAGATATATACATACATAGAGGGTCCGTGTCTTGCTTTAAGAGGATCTCGACTTTCAGGGTGTACTTTTTTGGTGGAATTGAGTGCCCTTTCTCCACTATGGGGAGCAGACAGGGACAAGTCCCCCCAATCTCTTTCTCTGTCCACAGAGAGTGACAAGATTTTCGTGACTGGGATTTCGAAATTCTAGGCTTCGATTTAGGACTTGTTTAGTTGGCGAATTTTTTTTAAAAAATATTTTAACTTTTGTTGTTATTTGACAATTAGTGTGAAATCATAGTCTAATTAGGCTTAAAAAATTTGTCATGTGAATTTTGTCTAAACTGTATAATTAGTTTTATTTTTTATTTATATTTAATGCTTCCATGCGTTCAAAGATTCGATTCGATGTGACGGGAATCCTTAAAAAAAATTTGCAAAATTTTAGGAACTAAACAGGCACTTACCCAGGCACTTACCCAATTTCTGAATGGTTTAGCTGGTCGGATTCTCACGGTAATGGATTACTATTTACTAGACAACTGTAGCCTCGGAAAATTCCATCACTCGGTGCAATGGCTACGCGGAATTGCGAATGCGCTATCATAGCACCTGAAGTAGTTTTCTTTCTTTTTTTCCCCTGGTTCGAGAATTCAGAATCTACCGTACTCTGCCTTATGACTAATTCGTGGACTAGGGTTCAAGATAAGAAAGAAAAATAGGGGGGAAGCAAAGCAAGAAAGCAGTTTGAAACACCGAAAGCTCTCGAGAAGAGCAAATTGAAGCCGGGCGATGTGCGGTTAAACCACCTTGGTGGAATGTTAGGTGCTACTGCACATATTCGGCCGTAGGACTGAAAAATACTTCTGGCAGGACGTAAATAGTGATACTGTATTATTTATTATGTATACAAGGCTTTTTCCTCTGTCACCAGCTTCGTGCTGCTGCTGCTGCATAGTGCTTTGATGGTCGCAACGGTCACGGACTCTCAGTCAACGGTCACCACTCACCAGGGGGTCTCCAGGTCGTGCTCACTTTTTTTTTTTGAAAGGAGATTAACTCTGCTTTTAAGAAAGCCATTAAGGTTTTTACAGACTGGGTTGACCAGTTTTCTCTACCGAAAAAAGGAAACAAAGAGCACCCTGCTCAATACTAGACAGAAGCAGTAAGAAAACATTCAGCTATTACATGAAGACGATATCGGAGCTAAAGGTGGTGCTCACTTTGATGTTTAAGTCAAAAGAGTTGATGCCAACAGCTTGTGGTCCATTGATTTCATGCTTTTTGGTGGCAATTTGGTTGCAGATACGGAACTACACATTACCTTTGCCCTGATTTTTCTTTGTTTCCTTTTTAGAAAAAGGAAATGCTCCTTTCTCTCTCTCAATTATATTGTTTGTGGATTACCAATTTGCCATTATTCATTCCTTGTATCTGTTTCTGGAAGGTAGTCTGTCTGGGACTCAACTGAACTGTCAAATGTTAGTAAAGGAGGAGGTTGAGAAACCAGTACGAAGCTTTATCAGGAATTGCTCCCACTCAAGCTAGCATAACGAGCTCCTGTTCCAGCCTCTCATGAGGGTAAATTTTATTTATGATGATGACCCTTTTCTGTTTTATTTTAAATATATATCTCAGTCTCGATGTAATGTAATGTCCATGTGTTTACATCTTTTCTGCGTCCAAGTTACAGTGCTTATGAATTGACTGCTTTGTGTGGAAAGTCTTGAAGAAAATGTGAATTAGTACATTTTCCTTTAACAAAGCAAATGGCTAATCCCAATACTCCAATACTCACTTTGTGCTACATTTTTCCATCTATACTACTGTTATCAGAAGCATGATTAGTTTTGAAATCAGCTTGCATCTGTCATGCCACTTAAGGAAAATAAAACATCGCCAAAGCCAGCAGCCCAGCACTACATTCTAATTATAATACATAATTATCACGTGCAAGCTGTTATATATTCCATTAGGATTTTGCATACTTGCTTCTGAATTTACATGCAAATTAGTGAGGAAACCTGTTGAAATAAATGCCGCAAGATGCAACCTGCAAAGCTGTATTGTTCAATCTGGTAGTCTAAGAATCCAAGACTTCCTCCATTACCAACTGATTTTCTAACTGTGCACATTCTTAAATGCTTCAGATGGAGGGAATGAGTGGATGGTTGTGGAAAGCTGCGCTCATGGAAGTTCCCAGCAAACATCACAGCCCATCAAAATGCTCAGTTATACTGTGGATGCTTGCCATAGCCAACCTCTGGATAATTTGCAGCAGCAGTACCCAGAAGCAAGTTCTCATGCCAGGGTTCAGCGCCTCAGAAATGGATTACATTGATAACGATGGGAAGTTTCTTGTCTGCAATGGCTGTCTTTGGCTTTGGCTTTGGCTTTGTCACCATCAGTGTGTCAGACAGCACATCCTACATTCTTGCAGTAGTCCACTTGGTCACCACTTCTATTGTCTGGTCTGCTAATCCAGTCTCTCATTCAGACAACTTTGTGTTTGACAAGGATGGCAATGCCTACCTGCAGTCTGGAGGTTCCACGGTCTGGACTGCCAATATCTCCGGCAAGGGGGGCACCTCTATGCAGCTGCTAGACTCGGGCAATCTTGTAGTGCTTGACAAGGACGGCTCTTCTCCTCTGTGGCAGAGTTTCAGCCATCCAACAGACACACTTCTGTCTGGACAGAGCTTCGTTGAGGGGATGAATTTGGTGAGCCATTCCAATGCACAGAACATGACCTATACACTTCAGATCAAATCTGGGGACATGTTGTATGCAGGCTTACAGATGCCCCAACCATACTGGTCTGCTCTGCAGGATAACAGGATGAACATCGACAAGAATGGCAACAACAACATATACTCTGCAAACCTGAGTTCAGGTTCCTAGTCGTTTTATGATCATTCAGGGCTCCTTCAATCACAGCTTGTCATTGCACAGCAGCAGGGTGATGCTAACACTACACTGGCTGCTGTCCTCGTGATGATGGTTGATTAACTTCTATATGCTCCAGAGTGTGAATGGCAAGAGTGTTCTTCCTATCACAGTTCCGCAGGACTCATGTGACATGCCTGCCCACTGCAAGCCGTACTCCATTTGCAACAGCGGGACAGGGTGCCAGTGTCCTTCAGCCCTCAGCTCCTATGCAAACTGCGACCCTGGCATCATATCACCATGCAACTCAAAGGACAAGTTTCAGCTGGTTCAACTGGACAGTGGTGTTGGGTATGTCGGCGCTAGATTCACATCGCCTGTGCCCAAGACAAACCTCACAGGATGCAAGAATGCTTGCATGGGTAACTGCTCATGCATTGCTGTATTCTTTGACCAAAGTTCAGGAAATTGCTTCCTTTTCGACCAGATAGGAAGCTTGCAACAGAAAGATGGAAGTAAGAGTAGTTTTGTATCTTTCATTAAGTTATCAAGCAGTAATCGGGCAAGGTTGTAGTGACAATGGTAGTGTCGGTACAGAAAGTGACTAACTAGTGAATATTTGTAGTTTTGCTGTATGTTGTGATCGGAGGTGGCCTAGTACTCAATGACACAGGATTTAGACTGGTTCAGGCAACGTGCCCTACGTCCAGTGTGGGTCTGTTGATGACTTTATTCCTGAGCCTAGGTGCTCGAAGTCTGTAGTGGGGTTACAAACGAGAAGGAGAAAGGAGGGTTGTACGAGAGGCCCGGTCGGGTCCGACCGGAAGGGCTGAGGGCGACTGGAACTCCGCTATGAGCTAGGTGTTCAATCGTGTGCTTGAGGGGTTTCTGAGCTATCGATCTAGTGAGCCTGAGCTTGAAGAAGTGGACCTCTAGAAAATCGATCTCCTTTGTTGGAGGGAGCGTATCCCCTTTTATAGATAAATGGGGTGGCTTTACAGGTGAGAGGGAGAGAGTACGGATGTTTCTAAGTCTTGTTGCCCATGCCGAATGAGGGTAGTGATGATGGTACTATCGATGTCGCTGTAGAATGTCAGGTGCACATAGGGGGTTGCGTTGGCTTCTTCAGGAAGGGTGGACGTCAGTACCTGCGAAATGCTGTTAGTATATGAGCCCCACCACGTGTATCAAGTATGGTGAATCTTGGTGCTCACTATCGATGTCTAAAATATGTGGGGGGCCTTTTTGCCGTACGGGAGCTCCAACGGCGCCTACAATACTGTAGACATAAATGTCGGCGCCTACAATACTGTAGTCACAAATGTCGGTACCTCCCATACTGTTTGTGTCAGGTCGGTTGTGGAGAACTGTTCCTGCAGGCGTATAGGGTATGGTCCTGGTACCGTGTTTTGACTTTGTGCGCTGCTTTTTCCGTTTGCCCCTGGTACCTTCTGAGCGGGAATCCCTGGTCGGATGGCTCCAGTCGGTACTGGCCGTGTCAGTCGGAGAAGAGCGGTAAGCAGGCTTCCTACGAGTCTCCGGTCGGAGACGCGGGGTCGGAGTAGGAAGTAGTGTTTTGAGCCAGGCCTTTCGATCGGAGAGTCCGCCCTGAGGCGGTCGGCACTCGAGGCGAGCGCTCCGGTCGGAGAGGTGGGCTGAAGAAGTTGTCGAGCGGGCGTTCGTTCTTTCGGTGGACCTTCCGGTCGGTGACCGATCTGTCCGTCCGGCCCTTGTTTTTGACTTTTTGGGCCGGCCCATGAGCTACAGGCTGTTCTCCTGGGTCGAGCCCGGGCGTCGAAGCCGGTCCCCGAGGGATCCTGGGTTTATGAACCCGACAGGAGCCCCTGAGCCCCCGGGTGATTTGAGCTGAATCGTCCGGGAGATTTTTGTCTTGTTGCCGGGTGCGCGCGAGCGCACCCGTGGGTGTAGCCCCCGAGCCCCTGGGCAGTTCGGGCTGAACCATCTGGGGGGTTTTCTGCGTTGTGTCGGCGGGTGCGCGCGAGCGCACCTGCGGGTGTAGCCCCCGAGCCCTCGGGCGGTTTGGGTAGAACCGGTTGGGGGTGTTATCTTAGCGGGCGTGTGCGTATGTTTAGTTTTGAGACGTTTTGTTTAATCAAGGTGTCGTTGCGTAGCCGAGGTATTTTTTAGGTGCAGGGTTTGAGGCAAATATTTCTGATCTCGGCGTCGGTGCGTGCCGTTGATCGGGTGAGAAGGTTAGTTCAGAGAAACCGCTGGCGTCGGTGCATGCCACGGACGGTGATGGCTCGGTTGTGTCAGAGCTTACTGATCTTTGGCGTCGATGCGCGCCGTGGGATCGAGCGAGGTAGGACCGTGAACGGACCCAAGCGTCGGTGCGTGCCGTGGATCGCGGGAGTTAGTTTAGTTAGTTCAGGAATCGGACGAGCCGAAGCTCGTGGACCCTGAGTGAAGCTGTTACGCGAGTTTAGGAGTCGCGGTCCCAGGTCTTATTGGAGCGCAGTGAAGCCGTCTGAAGCCGTTACGCGAGTTTAGGAGTCGCGGTCCCAGGAGCCGTAGCCGGATGTCAAAGATCCTGTCGACGTGAATTCGGGGTCGCGGTCCCAAGAGCCATAGCTGGATGTCAAAAGATCCTGTCGACGCCAATTCAGGGTCGCGGTCCCAAGGTTTTTTTTGGAGCACAGTGAAGCCGTCTGAAGCCGAAGCGTAGTTAGTTGGTTAAAGATCGGACGAGGCGATGCTCGTGGACCCTAGCGTCAGTGCGCGCTGCGGGATCGGGTGAGTCGGAGTCGTGGATCTGGCAAGTTCGAGGTCGCCGTCCTTTGGCCTTTTTCTTGAGCCCCCGAGCCCTATCGGGCCTTCGTGGGGGTCGATGTGAGTATTGTGCGTTTCCCCATCCTCGGTTCCTCACGACCGGAGGGGCTGAGTTTCGTCGCCTGTCCCGATCGCTCGGGCTCGAAGACTAGCTCGGTGAGTTCGCTAACGGGTGTGATCGAGTGGAATCCGGGTCCGTCGTTCGTGACGGGGTTGACATAGCCCTCTTGTGACATTTCACTACTCCTTTACCTGCAACCTGACAGATGCCTAGATCGTTCCAGAGACCGACCCGGGTGGCCTAACGGCCTCCCCTTCGATGGAGATTCTGTGGGCCTGGCGAGAGGTTTAGGATCGAACGAGAAGGTTGAGATGACCCAGTCTGCCGGACCAGGCGAGGGCCGCACGGTGCTCATCTACGGTTTTCTCCCCTGGCTCTGTTGGTTGCCCATATCGAATGAGGCAACCCCGCTTCATGACGCAACACGGAGCGTTCTGATGCATTTCGCTGCACATGCGATGCTTTAGTTCCCGAGCCCCTGGGCGGTTCATGCCCTAACCGTCTGGGGGTTCAGGCGTATGGAATGAGTGCGCGTATGGATGTATGAATGTTTTAAAGAAACAGAGGGGGTTTTGATAGTGTTTACCTTGGCGACAGGAGTGACAGAGCTCGGAGAGCTTCAGTCGGAGACGTCCGACCAGGACCCGTGCTTGTCGCTTGGGACGGAGTCGCCATGGCCCATATGGGGCGTCCCTTAGCTTCCTACTTGTGTCCTGGTGTGGATACTGAGCGACTCGATCGACTCAGGGGCCGATCGGTTTTCCGTCGGAGATTTCGTTTTAGGTCTTGCCTGGCCTGGGGGAGGCGAGGAGCCGCCCGCGTGCGGTGGCGCTTCAGCTTTCACGCCCTGTCGTGTGATAGTGGTGGGGGAGGCGAGGAACCGCCCGCGTGTGGAGCGTGATGTCGAACTGGAGGTGATGCTGGTCTGCGAGGCCTTCTTCGGGATGGAGCCGTGTGTAGATTCTCTGCGGTGGATCTTTACCGGACGAGCCTTGTCGGGGGGGTGGTTACTCATGATTGCGCTGGTGGAGAGTTCCGTGCCTACAACTGCTCAAGTCGGCCAGTTCATAAAGTTTGATGAGATTTCTTTCGGCCATGGTGACCATACCTCGGGAGCGGCGCCCCTAACCAGGAGCTGTCTCGGCTGCATGAGAAGGCCAGGAGCTCCATGTTCTTCTGCTGAGCATCCATAGGCGCGACGCCCTTGAGGTACCCGTTGCGTTTTTTCGAAGTTTTGAAGGGGCGGGACCGAGCAGTTTTCTGGCGTTTCAGGCGAAGTCGTCGAGTGGCCGCAGTAGTATTTGTAATAGAAAATGTAATAGTTAAGTTTTGTGGGTAAGTCCCCGTGTAAATGGTTTCTTTGTATCAATGAATACACCCGTACAGCCTCTGTGATGAAAGTGCCATATTTGTTTCCTTGTTTTTGTCCTAACATGACCTTTGTTTTTACCCCTTTCTTTCTCGTACCTGTCTGTTTGTCCCGTAGGGTGCGATTTTGGGAGCCCGGGGCATGGCCTGCGAGGCTCGGTTGTTCATATCCGTAGGGAAAGACGGGGTGCATTCAGTTTGGGAGTAAGAACATGGTTACGTATGGAAATCAAAGAAATGAAATGTGTTTCCGTTTGGGGAGAAAAAGTTGTATACCATGTGATAGTAAAGAAAAAGAGAGGTGATACTCAATATTTGTATACTTATGGAGCCCCCGAGCGACCCGGGTTGAAAGTGTTCGGGCGCGGGGGCGCTCTTACAGGAGCATATGTTTTAAGCGAAAGTGTTTAGACCAAATCTAAGGGAAAAACGACGTAGCTGTTCAATGTTCCAAGTGTTGTTGAGAGCATTGCCGTTGTTGTCCTCCAATCGGTAGGTGCCCGGTCGGATTACTTCGGTTACCGTGTAGGGTCCTTCCTAGGGCGGAGAGAGCTTGTGCTTTTCCTTTGTCGATTGGGTCCTTCGGAGCACGAGATCGCCGACTTTGAGTATCCTTCCTCTGATCTTCCTTTTGTGGTACCTGCGGAGGGTTTGTTGGTAGCGAGCGGAGCGGACGACGGTTGTCTCGTGGGCCTCTTCGAGCAGGTCGACTGCGTCTTGTTGAGCTTTCGTGGCTCAGTCGCGGTCAAAAGCTTTTACTCTTGGTGCGCCGTGGTCGAGGTCAGAGGGCAACACGGCTTTTGCTCCGTAAGCCAGGAAAAAGGCGTGAATCCCGTGGATCGGTTTAGGATCGTTCTTAGGCTCCAGAGGATCGCTGGGACCTCTGCAACCCATCGCCTGGTATATTTGTTGAGCCGGTCGAAGATGCGTGACTTGAGTCCCTGGAGGACCATGCCATTGGCGCGTTCGACCTGACCGTTAGTTTGTGGATGTCCGACCGAAGCCCAGTCGATTCTGATGCCGTACCCATCGCTGAAGTCTAGGAACTTCTTCCTGGTGAAGTTAGTCCCGTGGTCAGTGATGATACAGTTAGGAACACCGAATCGGTAGATGATGTCGAGGAAGAATTTGACCGCCTCTTTCGAGCGGAGATTGGTGATGGGCTTAGCCTCTATCCATTTGGTAAACTTGTCGACTACTACGAGTAGGTGAGTGAAACCGCCTGGGCCTTTTTTGAGAGGTCCTACCATGTCGAGGCCCCAGACCGCGAATGGCTAGGTGATTGGGATGGTTTGG